CTCCTTAGCAAGACTCTAGCAGTATAGTGGGGCTTTCGGAGAAGCAACCTGAATTGTCAGGGTGAGTCGAATCTCTCGGAGTTGGCACTGGGGGGGGTCTCTTCGGGTCGTCGAAAGCCCCAAAGCCCACACCCAAGCCCTAAACCCAAAAGCCTATACCCTGAACCGAGAGAACTTGAACGATTTGAGTTTAGGGTCTAGGAGACTAGGGATTAGGGTTTAGGGCGTGCAGGTTTAAGGTTCGTTCTCTGGCATTGCTAGCCGCTAGCCTTCAGCTCGTCTGTACTCGTATAGAGCGGAATCACTGGAATAAGTTCGCCATATGCCGAAATGATATCCAAGCCTATTCAAGAATTCGACCTACTGTTGGCCGCAAAGCCATCCTTTGCACTGGTCCCCTAACTTCGTTCGTGGTATCAAGGTACCATGGGGCTATGTCTTTTGTCAGGGATGGGACTGCCCTTGCTCTTGAACTATCGGGGGCGTGGGGATCTGAGGATTGCGTGGTGTCGGATTTTGGGATTTAGTGTTTTGGGTTTATTAGGTGTAGGGTTTAGGCAATGTTAAGTTAATTCGCCATGGAGTTCCTTCGCAAAACACCTCAGCTACTGAAGAGGTTTCAGCAAATTGTTCCAAGCTCATCCCACGTCCTCCGTGTGGTAAACCAAGTCAACCTGGACAGGTTGGGATTTACTTAGGGCATATGAAAATAGAATATTCCTGGGTTGTCTTTTGGGATCTTTTTTAATTTCCCTTACTATTTTGTAGAGAACCATAATAGTAAATAATTGTCAAAGGGCTTAAAGGACAACTTAGATTCTTAAAATTGCAACTTAAACACGGCTCAGGTCACACCCACCTGGCTGCAGAAAGCCTCGTCCTCTCTGGATGTGCCTGGTCCTGATTTCTGCATCCGTCAACCCCGAACGACCCCATACCCTAAGCCCTAAACCCTATAAGCCCTAAGCCCGAAACTCTAAACCCTAAACCCTCAGCCCTAAACCCTAAACCCTCAGCCCTAAACCCTAAACCCTCAGCCCTAAAACCCTAAACCCTCAGCCCTAAACCCTAAACCCTCAGCCCTAAAACC